CGAGGCTTGAGGTATACGGAATGCAAGACACGCGTGCCAGTAAGAGTGAACAGTCTTAAACTGATTGTTGTTGTTGTTGTTGTTGTTGTTGCTTCCGCTGCTGCTGCTGCCGTTGTTGTTGTTGTTGTTGTTGTTGTTGTTGTTGTTGTTGTTGTTGTTGTTGTTGTCGTTGTTGATGTTGTTGTTGTTGTTGTTGTTGTTGTTGTTGTTGTTGTTGTTGTTGTCGTTGTTGTTGTTGGTGGTGTTGGTGTTGTTGTTGTTGTTGTTGTTGCTGTTGGTGTTGTTGGTGTTGTTGTTGTTGCTGCTGTTGCTGTTATTGTTGTCGTTGTTGATGTTGTTGTTATTTTCTGTCCTTGTTTCCGCGGCGCTGCTGTGCCCGCCTGTGTGTGTGTGTGGGCCAGGGGCGGCCTCGGACCGTGGTACCTTGCCAATGAAAAAAGAGGAGGGACATGAGCGGGTGGTAACCTGAGGAGTGGGGACGGAACGGGCGGAACGGCCGAGAGCAGCCCCCTCTCATCCATGGCGACGAGCACGGTCGAGCGCAGGCTCTGCTGAGGACGGCTTGCGAACGCAGCATGTGTGTGTGTATGTGCGTGTGTGTGTGTGTGTGTGTGTGTCTGTGTGTGTGTGTGTGTGTGTCTGTGTGTGTGTGTGCGTGTGGCTTGGGCAGCCTCGGCTTTGACACCTTCGCTGTGCAGCCTTCACCCGGGACTCGTCCTCCCGCACTGGGCCCCGCCGCCCCCGGCCCGACGACGCAGCAGCCGCCGCGTGCCCCGCGGCGGGGCCGGCCGCGCCACACGCTCGGGCAGAGCTCTGAACTCTGAGCCGCCCGCCCCGTCCCGGTTTTCTTTCGGCCGCGTCCTTTCTCCTTCATCCTCTTGCAATTCGTTTTACGGGAACCCCGTTTAAGTCTCTCATCGCCAGCGCAGTCACCCTCTGCCTAGCCGCCGACGCCAAAAGGTGTGTGTGTGTGTGGGTGGAGTTCGGTAGCAACTCGTGGGAGCGTCGTGCATCCTCGTAATTCGGTCTTTCGCGTCGATTGGTGTGGATTAGCGTCTGGGAGTCGATGAGGTCGCGTCGATTTAGCGTCGGATCGCGTCGATTTAGCGTCGGCTAGCGTCAATTAGCGTAAGAGCCGACAAGATGGTATGGGAGGTTCCCATGAGTTGCCACCGAAGTGGAGAGAGGTCCGAAGACATGGAGTGAAGTGGCCTCCCTGCTCGCCCCCTCCGCCCGTCCCCTAGGCCCCCGCCGCTCGTTCATTGACGATGTCACATGGTCGTGCTCACGCTCATACCCCTCCGTTGTCCTCGTTTTTTTTCGGTAGCAAAGCATTGTAGCCTGGTATACCCTCTTTATTCGGTTTTCAGCGCCGACTCGCGTCGATTTAGCGTCTGGGAGTCGATGGGACAGCGCCGATTTAGCGTCGGCTGGCGTCGGTTAGCGTCCACTCGCACGAACCGCCAGGATGGTATGGAAGGTTCCCATCAGTTGTCACCGAGCGTTCTGTCCCCGTGTCCCCCTGGTTCCTCCTCTCGCTGGAAGGCGAGTGGCTGGACTCCCTGGGGCACACCGTGGCGGTCGAGCAAGGCGATTCGCGCGAAAGCTGAACGTGCACGGGGTGTGCTGTTTTGTTCCACCGCCCCAGTCCAGGGAGGCGTGGGAGAAGGAGGGAGGGGAGGAGGAGGATGAGGAGGAACATGCGGAGGAGGATCGCGAGAAGGAGGAGGATGAGGAGGAGGGGAGGACGAGGAAAAGGAGGATGAGGTGGAGGAGGAGGAGGAGGAGGAGGAGGTGGAGGAGGAGGAGAGCTTGAGGAGAGGAGGAGGAGGAGGAGGTGGAGGAGGAATCCTTTCCCTTCCATTCCCTTCCCTTTCCTTTCCACGTCGCTTCCCTTCCTTACATTCCCTTCCCTTTGCTTTCCCTTCCCTTCCCTTCCATTTCCACTTCGCCAAACTCTTTCCTATCCGCCGACCTTGGGGGTCCCAGGGGACCTTTGTCTCCACCATGGCCCCATCGCCTGCTGCCCACTCAGAAGAGGCGGCTCTGCTTCTTGGAATAGGAGGAGTGGCTTATGCGCAGGGGATGGGCAGGAGGCAGAGGACGATGATGAACAAGGAGGAGGAGGACCTGGAGGTAGGGAGGCGGAAAAGGAGGAGGAGGAGGAGGAGGAGGAGGAGGAGGAGGAGGAGGAGGAGCGAGAGTTGCAGGATGACTAGAGGACGGCGGAAGCGGGGACAGGAGGGGGCTGCAACGGCGAGGAACGAGCCGGATCCAGGCATGTGGCCGCTGGTTGGGCGAGAGCGCCATTCTGAACGACAGGGGCAATGCGCCGTTCCTGACGTGGCCAGCGCTGCCTAGCGCTGCAGCGGGAGCACAAATCGCGAAGGGCCGAGGACAGTCCGATCGAAGCAACGCACCTCGGAAATCACCTCCTGGAAATCCGGGGGAGGCGGTGCCACCACCGCAAAATGTCAGGGGAGATGGGGCATGTGTATTTACCGAAGACACCTGCGTACTGCGATTGGGCCCACGAAGTTTTTGTGGCGGCTTGCGCAGCCTTCCGGGTGGCCGGCGGGTTTGGCCGAAACCCCAGGGGGAGTTCTTACAGGAAGCAAGAAGAACCATACTTTTAGCACGCCAGGCACCCATGTGATCAATCAACAGTGGGCGGCGGATCGCAGATGCTTACTACGGGGCACCGCCGCCCCCTGCCTTTTAGGATACGCCTGCGTGGCCCAACGTTTGGGCAAAGTCTGGCCACGCTATTGGACCATGCGTGCCCCCAGCCGTTGTGGAAGCCCTTCGGGGAAAATGTGGGGAAGGAAAAGAAGAATAGAGGGAGGAAAAGAAGATGAGGAGAAGGCTGAGGACGCGTCTTGAGAGCCTCTCGGGTCATTGTTGGGGCTTCCAGGGAGCTTTCTGGGGGCCTCTTGGAGGCCTCTTGGGGGCTTCTCTGGGCCTCTTGGGTGCTTCTTGGGGGCCTCTTTGGCGGTCTTACGGCGTTTCTGGCCCGTCTGACGCGGTCGGGTGCCGTCTTGGGAGCTTCTCTGGGCCGTCTTTGAGTCCTCTTGGGGCCCGTCAGGGTCGTCTTGACGGCCATCTTGGGCGTCTTAGAGGCCTCTTTGGGCCGTCTTGGGGCCCTTTGCGGGCTGTCTTGGGGCCCTTTCGGGCCGTCCTGGGGGAGGCCTCTTGAGGCAATCTTGGGTGCCTCTTGGGCCATCTTGGGCCGTTGGAAGGCCGAACAAGAGCAAATGCCAAAATCCTTCTAGCCTCTTCGGGCCCTCCTGGAGGACCTCTCGGAGGCCTCTTGGGCCGTCTTGGAGGCCTCTTGGGCGCCTCTTGGGCAGTCTTGGGCCGTCGTGGAGGCTTCAGGGGTGGACTTGGAAGTATCTTGGACCCTCTTGGGCCGTCTTGGAGGCCATCTTGGCCATCCTGGAGACATCTTGGAGGCCAGCTCGGGCCATCTTGGAGCCGTCTGGAGAAGGAAAAACCTGTGCAACCCGGTCTTACGGTCCCTTACGGGTGGCCAGCGGATTGGGCCGGAGCCCCAGGGGAGAGCTCTCTTGGAAAAAGACAAAAAACCGACTGGATTCAGCACGCCAGGTACCCTTGTGGCAAGCCAGCAGGGGGTGACGGATCTAGTGGCTTCTGGCCCATCCCGCCACTGTGTCTGGGTCGTTGGTGAGAGGCCTCTTGGTTGCGTAATTCTTCGGGTATGCTAGGACGTCTCTCGGGGGCCTCTTGGATAGCTGTTGTGAGCCTCTTGTGGACTTCTTGGGGGCCTCTTGGGAGCCTCTTGGGGGTCTCTTTGGGGCCTCTTGGGCGCCTCTTGGGGCCTCCCCAGGGTCTCCCAGGGAGTCTCTGGGAGGATCCTGGGATTACCTCGGGATGTGCGGCTCGAAATTCCGCTTCGCGTTTCCCGTCTTGGGCCTCTTGGGGCCGTCTTGGGGCCTTGTGCCCTTTTAGGTGGCTTGGGGGCCGTCTCAGGGCCCTCTTGGGCCATCTTGAAGCCTTATTGGGAGCCTCTTGGGCCGTCTTGGGGCGATATTGGGATTCTCTTGGGCCGCTTTGGACGCTCTTAAGACAGAAAACGCGCATTTCCAATTAGAATGATTTGGGCGATTTTGGCCTCTTGGGACTGTGTTGGGGGTCTTCTTGGGGCCCTCTTGAGGCGCCTTGGGGGCCTCTTGTGCCGTTCTGAGGCCATTCTAGGGCGTCTTGGGGCGCTGTCGGGCCGTCTCGGTCGGGGCCCTCTTGGACAGCTTGGGGTACCTCCCGGGGTCCTCTCTGGCCGTCTCGGGGCCTTCCGACCTCAGGAATAATCGTGCGAGATGTTCCAGGAGGCCCGCGGGGGGACGCGGGGCGCCCTTGAGATTCCGGCAACTGGACCTCTGGGCCCCTTATTAGTCGATAGTTGACGCTTCGCGTATCCCCAGCAGCACATTCAGGAATGATCCCCATGAGGGTTGCTTGGATGATGAGGAGGTCGAGGATGAGGATGAGATGATGATACGGATGATGATGCTGATGCTGCTGCTACTGCTGACGACGATGACGATGACGATGACGATGACGATGACGATGACGATGATGATGATGATGATGATGATGATGATGATGATGATGATGATGATGATGATGATGATGATGATGATGATGATGATGATGATG